ACTTGTTAGATGTTCATTAATCAATTGATGTGTGAAGGATGTATTGAACAAAGTGAAAGATGTAGAATTAAAAAAACTTGGAGGAATAGAATCGAACTTTTTTATGGGATTTTGTGTGTTAGTCAGAATGTTAAACAATACAAATATAGTAGCTATAAAACAAATCGTTTTGATAGCTATTGAAGATTTTGATTTTAGCTGGATTTTTGCCATGATGATAATTTAATGAATCAATATACTTCAACAGGATCTAATTAAAATAGAGATTTCGTTTGAATAATCTAATTTAGGCAAGTAAAATACGAAGTATCCGTCAGATTAGAAATACATTATATGTTGGATTAATTCGTTTCACCGTCATTGTTTTTTCATGTTCGCTCGTCACATTTGTTGCAGACGACGCCGTAACATATATCTTTCTTCTAGAGTGATATCTATCTCTGTTCTTTGTTTCTTTCGAATTATCCCTGGATCCTTTTGATTCATATACAACTGCTCGTTCGTTCGGTCGTATATGTGTGATTCCATACATATATAAAATAGAGTGAAGTTGATTCCAAAAGAAATTCTAACTCTAATGACATTCATACAAAATCTCATGTTATTGTCGTATTATTCGACATGAGTTTGTGAGACATAAATCACATTTTCAAAATATAGTATCAATCTAATTTTATAGATACTTTGCTACAAGGACGAATAACTAACTAATTCTCATCTAATTCGCACTAGTGTTAATACAATCTCAATAATACGATAGAAAAATATCTAATATTTTCATATCTAATAGAATTGTTTATATATTTTTAAATGATATCGATTTTATCTAATAATTTTTTTTATTTCTTAATTACATTATATTGAAATAAATAAACAGACAATGTGATAAAAACAAGAGTGTTTTTCAATTTATTCTCTACCTTGGCAAAAATCTCACCATTGTCATTGCAGAATTGTTTTGAGAAAATTCGATTCAAAATTAAAACTACTAATATATATATTTTTGTTTCTTACATTAATTATGTTGAAAACATGAAAATCACATGATACATATTTATCTTATTTTATTTTAGACTTACATAAAATTACGAAATTAAAAAAATTCTCTATGTCTCTTAATTTTCCATAGTTACACTTCATTCTGTTCATCTAAAAGAACACTTTTAAAGTCTAATTTTTAGTTGTTTAATAAATGAGTGATACAAGTATTATCTCAACAAGATCTTCATACGATGATGGAAATATTAGAAAGAAAAATTCTAATCATCATTCTTCATCCTGTAATCGATATTGGTTTCATATATTTCTTATTTTACTATTATTAATTATTTTTACAACATCATCTATTCTAATATATATTTTATATAAACAATCACAACGTAATCAAGAACGTCGACGTATTCAAAATGAATTTAAACAAAGACATGGTGTTGCAAATAAAGTTTTAGATTTAGTTACAAAAGATGGTCTTGTTGCAAAATGGTTGAAAACACATCAAGGTTCAATAATAACGACTTTTAGAGAATTAATGACAGATATGGTAGAAACAGTTTTTGATGAATAGCATGATTTTATATGCTTTAGAAAAGAAAAAAATCGCGGGCGATAGAAAATCTTTACTTTGTTTGAATTCTATTAGTTATCTTTTCGGAATTTAAAATATGAATAATAATAGATATCATGTTAAATATACAGATGAATTTGATAATCAATCAACATGGTGTCATAGAAATTGGTGTCGTCTATTAATTGTCATTATACTTGCTATTTTAACAATTGGTACTATTTTCGAACTTATTTTTGTATTAAATAAAGATTATGTTAAAGAAAAAGCATTAGCTGAGAAGAAAAAAGGTTGGGTTAAAAAATGGAAAATAATAGAACCATATATTAAAAAATTTTCATTAGGATTTCTTCTTGGTTTTATACGAAATCTTATTGTATTAGCAATTGAAAGACAAGCTCAGTTTTAATAAAAAAATCAATAAATATCTATATATCTGTACTTATTTATATTTGTTTATTTAAAAAAAAAAGAACAAATGTTTAGTCATTTGAATAAATATATTATACTTCAGAAGCTAATCTTGATGAATCGGAATTTTGATTTGTTGATATCATTTCTAATAATTGTTTTGTTTCTTGAAGAAATGATGAAGATGATGATGTTCGATGTGTTGTTGTTGTTATTGGTCGATTTTCAATATTTAATCTGATTTTTCCTTCTCGTTGAAGTGAACATGTTATTGAAGATGATGATGATAATTGAGCAGGAGATGGTAAAGTAAACATATTTGTTGATGGAAGTGGTTCTCGTTCAAGAAGATGATCAATATTAAATATATATGGTTCATCAATATCATTTTCTATTGTAATTATATATATGATATAGATCAATCTATTAGAGAAAAAAAATACTTACTCATTGTAATCGGTTCGAAAGAAGGTGAACGAGAATCTCGAATAACAATTGAATGAACTCGTTGCTAATTATATTTAATAAAAATAAATTGATATATTGAAAAGAAAAGAAAAGAAAAGAACGCTTACTGTCATTTTTGAAGGCGGTGATGATGGTGATGACGATGATAAATGTTGATTAGTAGTAGTATTTAAACCATATTTTTTTCCATAAAATATATAATTTTTTATTGTTAAACAAATATGAATACCTTTTAATCGACAAATAAGTAAAATAAGTATAATTGTTACTAGAATAAATATTATTGAAAGTATAAACATAATTATTTCAATTGGTTTCATTGGTAAGAACCATTTCTGTAAATTATTTTCATTTTTTATTGATAAATCAGATGTTGTTATATTATAACATTCATCATCATTCGAAAATGAACATAATCGATATTCTAATGAATTATTAAATGAATTATCTAATCGTTCAATATACATTCGACATTCATTAATAATTATTTCACTTTGATTAATTAAAAGAAATAAACTGAATGATACATTTCTATTATTTAGAATAAATAAATTTGTTTCAATTACTCGAAAGAAACCAATCTTATTTTCCATAGTTTCATTTTTAATTTCATAAAGTATATAATTTTTATTTTCTATACAAAATTCAAGTGGTTCAACATAAACTGAAGTATTTGTTATTATCATATTAGCTGTTGTTGTTGTCTTTGTAAAAATTGGAGTAGTGCTACTACTACTACTGCTAGCAGTTGTTGTTGTCCATTGATCTATAACAATTAGTTCAATCCTTAAATTTGGTAACCATTGTTGAGATAATTTATGTTTTACTCCAATATTTAACATATAAATTGCTTTTGATGCTGGACGTCGACGTGTTTTTAACATATATATATTCAATGATGGAGTAGCAGCAAGTGAAAATATTGTAAGATAATTATCGAGTGATAGAATATATTTATCCATTGGATAATAAAATGAAATCAGAGTTATATTTAATAAATCTTCATTACTTTGTAAATGTTCATCAATAAGAAATGAATTTGATGAATTTAATCGATGAATTTTATTTTGATTTTTTAATGAATTTGTTTGAAAATGAAATGAAACATTATTAATAAGATTTAAATATCGAAAAATAATTTTAACTTTTGAACGTGATATTAAAATTTTTGATAATTTTTCTTTTGATAATATTGATGCTTGAACAAGAAAATCAATTTCATTACTTATATTATGAAAATTCTCGTTTATATATATTAATTCACCAGTTAAAGAATTGATTTTGATTTTATTATTATCTGATACTAATTTATAATGAATTATTTGTGATGGATCATTTGAAATAGCATGTACACGACCTATAATACTTTCATTTTTATATAAAGATGAATTTATTGTCACAACAAATTCATATTGTGATAAAGAAAATATTGGTTCTTTTTCTTTTCGTTCAATTTTAATATTTAAATTCATTGAATTATCTAATTGTTTACCATTATCACTATTATCAATAGCATAAAGTTTAAGTTTATATTCACTTTGAATATTTATCGATGATGACGGAAGAAATTTTAATGCTAATCGATCGAAATTAATTGATGATGGTGGTGATTGTGATAATATAATTAATTGAAATAATGGATAACAATTTATTGATGATTGAATATATTGATTAATAAATGTTTTATTTTGATTTAAATCATTTGAACAATCAAGTACATAATGAATTTCACCATTTCGTCCTTCATCTAAATCTTTTGCACCACTAAATGGTATTTTATATCCATTTAAAATATTTTCACGAAATTTTAATTCAATTTCATTTTGAATAAATTCGGGTTTATTATCATTTTCACTTTAAAAATTAAATCAAATTTTTCTTTTTATGAAAAAAAAAACAAATACCAACTTACTCGATAATATGAATTGGAATAACCCAATAAGCTAAACCATCATTAACAAGTATATGAAGTTCAATTTTACAATATAAATTATCCAAACAATATTTTTCAGTAATAAATTCTTCTCGATCAATAAAATCTATTGTATAAATACTTCCATTTATAATTGAAAACATATCTAATTCAAATCCAATCATATTTAAAAGAGCTAATTTTGATGATTTTGTTATATTTAATGATGTTGTCAATTGTATAACAAGTGTATTTAATGGACTATTTTCGAATAAATCAACTGTTGGATAATTTGTTATTGATGTTTTGGAAAATGAATATTGTATTAAAATAAATAATATCCAAAGATGATTAATCATTATTTACTAAAATATAAAAATAAGAATCATTTTATCTAGTTGAAAAAAAATATAGATTTAAGAATATACTAATCTATGAACAATACTACTATTGTGTTTAACAATGAGAAAAAGACAAATACAATCTCTCGATCTTCTTCTCATTCACACAATAAGAAAGAGAATTACGATTTACCTTTTTGTTTTTGTTCTAGTTGAAAGTAAAACAAAAAATCAAATATCAAGAAAAAAGCTTATTGATTGTTATAGTGAATATGATAGAAATAAGTATCAGTCTCATTACTCGAAGTGATCAATATTGATAAAGAGAGTAACAATGACTAGCTCATTTCTTCTTTATTTAAATAGCGAAAGTGATATTGTTGTTTATCTAGAGTGAGAAGCACGCACACATTTCGATCCATCTTGCATTTGTCATCGTCGTCAATAGGTATTAACTTATATTCATTTGAAGTTGCGTAGCTATCTTTCTTCATTAGTGTCGTCGCTGTATTTATTCATATAGGACGAAGATCAAACTAGATATGTATAAGCAATCTTCTGTAAATCAATATTGATTAACAACAATCCAACACTTTTCTTCTCATACATTCTTTTTAATGTACACCAGAAATTCCAATACAACTAGATTTATGAGAAGTCGGTGTATTAGTTATCTGATATCAAATCTGTGTATTTTATATACCATAGAAATTGTTGAGAATAACGACTTCTGATTTTCAAAATTAAAAATTGAAGTTCGAATGTTAGCAACAGAATTGTCAGATCTTCTGAAATAAAACTCAATTTTTTTCAGATACTAATGTTTCTGTAGATTACAACTTAAAAGTTTATATTATTATTTTTATTATATTTTATACTATCTGTGAATATAATTAAATATGAATTAAAACAAACACATAGTTTCAATCTTGTAATTGTACGTATTGCTTCGATTGACAAGACATACTCTAAGATACAAAAGCAATTTTCGCGTATTCTTATAAATATATTGACAGATAATGTAAATAAATGATCGATTTTTGATGCATTCATAACATCAAAAGCTAGACAGACAAATATTAAACTTTATACAGATCTAATTGAAAAGAAATTTAATAATCAATGCTATCAATATACTCATATGATCCGTAAGAATATTGTCATCTCGCACGTCTAATAAAATGATATTTCATGATTTAATTATATTTATACTAAATTTATTGTATTTTTAAATTAAAAAGTCTATTCATGTTTATTTATTTTTAAGCTTTTTTTGGTGCTGAATCACCAAATAATGAGGCACTAAGTGATTCTGGATAACGTCCACCAGCTATATCTGCATTTTCACAAGCTTTTCGAATTTCTTGTTCTTCTTCTTTGCTTAATTTCACTCCTGCAGCACCAACATTTTCTTCAAGATTCTTTATTTTTGTTGTACCTGGTATTACGAAAAAATCTTCTCCTTGAGCAAGAATCCAAGCTAATGTAAGTTGGCCAGTTGTACAGTTTTTTTTCTTAGCTATCGATGATAATGTATCGACTAGTTGAAGATTTTTTGGAAAGTTTTCTTTTGAAAAACGAGGAAGATGACGTCGAAAATCACCTTCTTCAAGATCATCTGGACTTTTGATTTGTCCACCTAATAAACCACGACCTAATGGTGAGTAACATACGATTGCTACACCAAGTTCTCGACATGTTTTCAGAAGACCAATATTTTCATGTTCAATATCCAAACTAAATGGTGAATATTCTATTTGTACAGCTGCAACTGGATGAACAGCATAAGCACGTCGAAGAGTATCACTTGAACATTCAGATAAACCAATATGTTTAATTTTACCTGCTTGAACAAGTTCTTTTAAGGCACCCATAGTTTCTTCAATTGGTGTATTCTTATCAATACGATGAACATAATAAAGATCGATACAATCGAGACCAAGACGTTTTAAACTTGTTTCACATTGTTCATGAACATATTGAGCATCTCCTCGGACAGTTCGTGTTCCGTCTGGTAGAACGACAATGGCGAACTTAGTTGCGAGAAAAACCTACAACAAAACAATTAGATCAGGTATAATATTTCTTCGCATAAACTGTGTTTGGATCTGTCAATTAATTTTGAACTAGAGTTCTCACACAAAACAACGTTTTTATTCATTCTTTTGAATTATATAATTATTTTTCTTGTAGCATTAGAACAATTTTTCATGTCTCTCATCTCATATAATATCAAACAAGCAGCTGCATCTAGCAGAAGAAACTGTTATTAATACTTCAGTGTCTCATAAATTCAATTTATTAAAACTAAAGGTTTCAATTGATTTTTGCTCAGATCTGGACTAACCTTTTCACGTTGTTGAGGATATTTTTTAAAATATTTTCCAAGTAAATCTTCATTATCACCATATCTATCTGCACTATCAATATATGTACTACCCAATTCAATCACTCGATCAAGAACTTTAAAACGTTCTTCATCAGAAGCAATTGCTCCGTAAAATGCTGAAAGACCCATTGCTCCAAAACCAATGGCCGATACTTGTGGTCCATTTTTTCCTAATTGACGACTTGGTATTGCTGTCATATTTTAATGTGATAGAATATATAATGAAATATAAATTTAGAATCTAGAATAATACAGGAATGAGAAACCCTTGATATGCATTTCTTTCTTAGTTCACATGTTTATATACCTTGAAAAAGCGTCATGACGCAGCAAAACAAGCGTTCTATATGATGACGACAATGCAAAAAAAAAGTAAAAAATAGAAAGAATAAAAACAAAATCTAAAGCTGATAATGAGATATGAGTCATCTCGCAGTCTAAAAATTATAGAACCATGCGACATGAGCATGAGATAGCGTAGAGGAACGAACCGTTTAATTAAAGAAAAATAGTAAATCATCGGATTTTCTCTGTTCAATAAGCCATTCTTTACGTGTACTTGTTACTGTATTTTATTTTTTATTAAAGATATTACGAATTAAGTTTCGAATATATTATCTATCTTGGAGTTCTATCTTGAGTTTGCAATATTATTACAATTCTCAATATTAAATAAATTAAATAAGACGTTAGAAAAAAGTATGAATGCAAGCGATTGTCGATTTCATTTCATCTCTCAATCCGAACTATATATATTCCAGTAACCTGAGCTGTCTAAAGATGCCGTCATCTACCAGGTAAGTATCTCATAATGAAATGAAAATTACACAAATGCTACTCCTTGTTTATTGTAAGTACTTGCATATTTAGTACGAATATGAGTTTAAAAGTTGAAAGAAACTTAACGTAAAAAAACTAGTACTAAAATGTAATGATATACAATATTTGAATCTGTTTGATCTGTATCAAAAGAAAAAAAAACAATCATGACTTTAATCATAAATCTCTTGTACATTATTGAATTTTTAATTTATTATTTGCTATGGTTTGAATGCTGTAAAAATTAGTTTATTTTTAATTATAAAATACTAGTTAAAACATTGATTTAAACATATAAATCCGAGAATATTAAGACTTTCTGATCATATAATATATATCGTTGCAATAACATAGATCAATATCTAATATTTTTTAAATCAATTCCTACAATAACTTGCGCCAGTTGTAAAATATGACGTGCGAAGTAGAACTCAATGAGCTATATCAATCGATAGAGTTCATCGAGTTCTATTGCGCACATCGTATTTTACAACTGGCGCAGATCGTTATGCGAATTAACAGTCACACAAATACATGATTAAAAAGAAGCCAAGTAACATCAGTGTTATATATAGCTATTAGTGAATGTGAATGTAATATTCTTACATAAATCATATATTCAGAATAATCCTTTTTAAACTACACCGAATCAATATTAAACTTATTCATATTCAAAGAATATATCTCTTATTATTTTACGCAAATTTTCGATTAGATATTTTAATATATGCGTCATTTATGAAATAATTTTTACATACAAAATTTTTCTTGATAATGCTCGAAGGTAAACAAATCCATAGATGGTGACTAATTCATTTCATCTTATTCATAAAAAAAAGCTTTTACTAATGTTGTTTAGTGACAAAAACAAATTTTTCGTTTTTATAACACTATTCTGTAAGATGTATTGAGTATATTTGTACATGACCCACCCCATACACCTTTTTCGTCGAGCACCATTAACGAATTTCTTTCTTTCGTAAAATTTTCGTAGTCAATTTTTTCATCCTACTACATACGCAAAAAAAAGCGAAAAAACCGACGCCTTATAAAAGAACGAAAGAAAACAACAAAAAATATAAGTTATCGTCATTTTTTAAAAAGTCGAAGTCTGCATACAACAACCAAATCATGCGCACATATTTAGCAATTATTTGTTTCGTTTTATTCATCTGTACAGTAACAGGTCGATCTATTGCATCATTTTCGGATGAAGACGGTAGCAATGATATAGATCAAGCATCAAATCGTCGTTATATCAATGATGCTTTACGTTTCGATCGTTTACAAAAATTCCTAGGAGAAGACAATAGCAATGATGATGATGATGACGACAACAAAATTGATGCTCAATTTTCACAAACAGAACAAGAATCAGATGGTGAAACGAATGAAAATGTTGAGGATGACAATTCAGCAGACGATGATCGAGAAAAACGTCATATGTTTAATGATGAAGATACTGACAACAGTGATGTCTCAAGTAACTCTGATAACGACGATGAAAATAAACCAAATGTTAAAATTTTAAATAGTGAATCGGAGAGTAACGATATTTATGATCGATTGAATGAAGATGCTGAATAAATATTTATAGAATAATCACGTTTTTCTTTTTTAATGTAAATCTTTCTTTTCAAAACGAGAAATAAAACAATAAAGAATAAATCTAATGGTGAATTTTTGAAGCTTCCTAAGTGCAACACAAAAAATATTCAAGAAAAAAAATCAATAAGATGATCGTATAGACATATGTTCAAAGAAATTATTGATATTGTTTGCACTGATAATATATAAGAAGTGTTTTATCTAAGTACACTCATTGATGTACTTGCACGTTGACTAGTTGATGATGCACGTGGTGGATGTTGAATTTGATGAACAAGTTGATTTATAGCACCATTTGTTGTATCTCCACGACTTACTGAAGTAACTGATTTATCTGTTGATTGTTGTTGTTGTTGTTGTTGCTGAGCAGCAAAAGCAGCAGCTGCTGCTTGCTGTTGCATTTGAGTTTTGAGATCATATCGATGACGAGCAAAACCACCAGCAATATGACCTGCATGCATGAATATATCAAAGAAAAAGAAATTAAAATTATTTACCTTGAGATGCACTTGGTTGCAAAGAAAATTGTTCAGGACCACCAACACTATGTCCAGTTGTTTGATAAACAGTGTCCATACCAGGTGCATAAGTTGGATCCATCTATATTTTAAGATGATTAATTTATAAATTTTCAAAATAAAAATTTACTTCTTTATTATATTGAGTATGATCTTCAACATAACTTTGATAATCATCATAATTACCTCCTCGTGCTACTGGTAATCCATTCAATGATTTTGGTGATTGAAGAGTTTTCATCTATTATATATAATATCAAATAATTAACATCGTTTTTCTTGTTATAAAACTTACTAAATATATTGCAATTGATGCACCTAATGCAAATCCAACTGCTATATCTTCCCAATGATTCTTATTACTTGCTAATCGTACACCACCAGCTACTATCGATAATGTAATAATTGACATGATAATAAATGGTTTAACAATTCGAACACGGTCAATACAAATGACTCGATGTAAATAAATCTATTAAAATCAGTATTCATTAAAAAAATATGTAAAGAAAAAGATAACATACAGCAAGAAACATGGCACTATACATTGACAATGAAGCATGTAATGATGGAAACGAAAGTCTATATTAAATAAATAAATACATAGTATTTAATTTAAAAAAAAATTCGTTTGCATACCGAGCTTCTCGTAATAATCCAGTCATATTTTTAGTAAGACATACAAATTCAGCATCTGTTAAACCTTAAAGAAAATCAAATAATATTTATCAATAATTATTAGTATATATATATATATATTACCCATTCCATTACATGATTTTTGATCTGGATTACATAAAGTTAAAAAATATGGTCTTAAACGACCGGACATAATTTTTAAAATATCAGTAAGAACAGTTGTTGATAATGCACCAAAAATAAAAACCGCTATACAGAAATAAAAATGAAATAAACAATTGAGATAGATTTCGACATACCAGAAAATTTAAGAATACGAGCTAATGATCGAATAAGACATTCTTTAACTCGTATAGCAAGACGAGCTCGATAGGCATTGCAGCTAGTAAATGAACGAACAAGTTCAATGATTGATATCTATATAATAAATATGTTTTTTAAAATAATATCTTATTAATTCTTACAATAAAAATTGGAATAAATAAACATAAAATATAAAGAGTAATATTTGAAAGTATAATATAATTTCGTGTTATATTAGCATCTTCATAAGATTGATAATAACGAGCATCATCACATAAAAATTGTTGTTGTCGAACAGGAAAGATATCAGATGCTCTAATAATGAAATTTCTATATTTATAATTAAATACATATATCGATACTTACCGAAGAAGAAAAGCTATAACAAGAGCAAATACAAGTACGATACTGTCAAGCACAGCTGTCGCTAATGCATATCGACCACCATTTCGAATATAATCTGCTGTTCCTTCAGTATACGGTCCACTTCTGAAATTCATTAAACTAGAATGATTTATAAATTTATTGAAAGTATACATGCGAGATCGTGCATCCATTGTTATATTAAATTGTCATAATCGATTCTTTAATTATTTTTTTCTTACTAGAAAATAAATAAGACTAGAATTTGACAAAAAGAATTAAAATGACTTACTTCTCTCTCTCTTTCACGTTTTTGCTTAGGGACAAATTCTTATCGTTATATTTATTCAAATACACAATTGAAAGAATGATGATGATGACCGTGAAATATTTTCATTTATCCAAACATTCATTCAATGCGATTTTCCTAAGCATACGTACATATATATTATACAGGAGAATTTCGTATTTATGACGAAATGATCATAGAGAGAGAATAAAGAAGACGATCGAGATTGTTTAACATAATCGGTCCGAAAGATAAACTACAAGTTAAGACATTAACAAATATTGTCCATCCGATAAAAGAAAAAGAATAACATTCTATCTTTTTCTTGTCTCGAAACGTTCATCATTGAATGCGATAAAAGAATTTCATTTGTATTTGTTATATAATGATCATTATCCGCTCTTATAGTATAAATCAAGGTGGACTTAGAAAATTTTTACTGTCAATTGGAATTCTTTTTTAATCATTAAATAAAATTTCTATGTATATTTTTCATTTTTTTGTTTCAGTTGTTAACTGATCATAATTTAACATTATTTCAGAAGCGAGGAAAAAAAACATGGTTATATACAAATCCAAACAAACAGAAAAAAAAGAACGCTGATCAACACACACACACTCAGATTTAACATCGTATAAAAAAAATAGAATATCAGGATTGCTATACATTAATATATATAAAGAATTATTGAGCATATATTTGAACATCACATGATAATTTATGAAAGACATGACGAAAATATTCTCATTTGATACCTTTCGCTGCTAATTCTTGTTTAACACTAAATAAACAAAAAAATTTAATAAATAGAATTTCAATATATATTTTATTTACCGATTAAGATACGTTTTATCTGGATAACCAAAACTAGGAAAAACAAAAAAACATAGAAAATTAAATAAAATAAAATTTTACTTTTCCATTCCACCATTAACATTTGTTTTATGATGAATATCATTCCAAGTAATAACATTATCGTAACCGGTTGTTCGAGATTGACCCACGGTAAAAATTTGTTGTAATTCAAAAGCTTTCTGAAGTAAACTAAGTACATGACGACCTTCACGATTTTCTGGTAGATATGCTGTACGAGTTGTTCCGTGATATGGTGTACCGGGATTAGGATGACTTTCCTTATAAAAACAAAAAAGTTAAAATAATTTCATTGTTTTATTTAGAAGAAATTTACATCTTGAATTCCATTAGGAAAATGATAAACTATTCTAATTGTACCACGTGAATCATGTTCAAAACCGGGTAGACGATGTTTAGATGTATCAATAGTCATTGTACCATTTAATGGTTGATTACCTAATATGAAAATAAAATATTAAAATGAAATTTTCATTAAATATTATACCTCGAATTTCTCCATAAATAGTAAAACAACATGGACATTGTGGTTTAACTGTTTCAAAATATTGATCTATACAAGCTGTACAAAATATATGAGTACATTTATCAAGTTGTTTTGGTTCAGTACAATCATCCAAACAAATTGCACATCGATCTATTTCTATTAAAACAGAACAAAGGGAAAGTATATTTAATTATGTGTTGTAGAAAGTTAATCAACCTGTTTTATCAAGATGTTTTTTTTTCTGGTAAAATCTCTTCAATATCACTATCATCGGTATCATCATTATAAGAAACATCTTTTTGTTTCTTATGATTCAGTTTATTAGAATTAACCGAATCTAATCGAGTTCGTTTTGTAGAATTCTGAATATCAGGAGATTCATGACGTCTAGTTGCGGACTAAAAATATTCAATAAATTTTATTTAAACAATTAAAAAAGATTTACATTTGTATCTGATGAAGTTTGATGATTTATTTTACGTGATTTATTTGCTGTTTTTCGTACATTTTGAGTCACTGTCGGCAAAGATGTTTTTTTTGTTACACATGTCCGAGAACTTGTACGACGTTGATCTGACATAATTGCAAATAGATTCTACAAAAGGAGACGTTTTCTCTTACAGATTATACATTCCAGGAACAAAAAGAAAACGATTCATGGAAATATTTCATTCGTTGAATTCTTAACCAGTCAAATTCAGCGGCGTTGCGAAATATTATGAAATATATATTTTATCATATTTTATTTTTTCTTAAGTATGTAAGAAAAAATGAAAGAGAATCATTCGAATTATTTTAAATTAATTTTATTAATGATGACAAACCTTTTCCCGATTTTACCCATATAACTTTCATTATGACTCGTCGTCTCATTTGTCTTTTCCAGATATTTATTTATTCGTACAGATTGTCATATTATTTTATAGATTTAATCGGTTTATTTCATCTGTTGATCATTTTCAGATGTTTCGCAAGCCAAAGCAACGGAATTTACGTGGTCGAACAGATATTGATAATAATGAAGATGATCAATCCAATGTATCAAATACACAATCGATTGTTATACAACAACAACAAACAGTAACAACAACTCAAACTGTGATTAAGAAACCTGACATACCCAAATCATTATTAAGTTTCGGTGATGATGAAGGTAAAAATTTTCATCTAGTTAATTTTTTTTTGTCATATTTAAAATTATTATTTAGGTGATACTGAAGAATTTAAAGTTAATAAAACACGTGAAAGTCGTAAAATGACAAAAGAAATTAAAAAAACACAACAACCACATATACCTAATGATTCAAAACCAAATATTACTATAGAACAAACAACAATTGTTGAAGAAATAATAACAACAACAACTAAAGAAACTAATAATTCAAATAGTGGAGAACTTGAAATAAAATGTAAGATTTAATCTATTGATATAGATCTTTCTTGTAATAATTATTCTTTCTAGTTAAACCTCTACAAATTGTTGGAAATAAACCTTCAGCAATATCATTTACTAGTACAAATACAGATCTACAAGTAATTTATCTATTTTGTTTTTGTGTAGAATGTAAATATTTTAAGTTTTTCTTTCTATTTTAGCGTTTACGAAAAGAAATGAAAGTACTTAATGGACAAGAAGCAGATAGTGCTGATTTGGATGATATTGAAGGAATTTTTGAAGGAGATGATAATGATGAGGATATTAATGAACTTGATGATACACAACGTTCAGTTAAACTTATGTTAAGAAGTAAAGTATTTTGTTTTTAATAACAATATAATTTTATTTTTTGTTTAGGTGGTGTTATTCCTGATTCAACTATGATACATGCCGCACGTAAAAGACGTCAAATGGCTCGAGAAATGGGTGTACCTGATGATTATATTTCTTTGAATAATACTGGTGAAAATGGAAATAATACAACTTCAAATCGAAAATCACGATTAGTTCGGTATGAAAATTTTATTTTGAATTCTTAAATAAAAATCACTGAAATATATTTTATTTAGTGATGAGGAACATGATGCTAGTGATGCTAGTGATACAGAAGATCCACATATAGTCAGTATGGATAGAAATAAAACAAGAGCTGAAAGTGAACGACAAAAAAATCGTGATCGATTTTTAGAATTAGAACAAGGTATGAATTGATTAAATCAAAAAAATATATAACAATCAATCTTTTTTATTAATAGGTAGTGATAATGATGAAGATGAAGAAGAATTTCGTCGTTTTGAACATGAACAAATTCGCAAAGGAGTTAGTTCAAAATTGACAGCAATCAATGCATTGGCTTCCTCTTCTTCCAAATCTCAAGTCGGTGTTATTCGTCGTAAGATTTTCTCTTACGCTCTATCATACTCATTAATTTAGCATCATTTCAAAAAAAGAGAAGATCTATTTTTCATCAGTAATAGTACTAAAAATTGGAATGTTGAT